AAGATGAAATTACTGGCTCTAATAGTACTGCCCAGGTACTCAGTGTCAAATTAAGGGACAGCATCAACCAGCTTTCTGCCAAGCTCGAGAAACTTGTAGAAGGTTAGCTAATAAATAGTAGATTTGCAAGTTATTAAATGTTTATTCCCTGACCTAAATATTATGCCAATTAAGTGTAAATCCGAGCGAGTAATGAAGTCCGGTGGTGATATACTGGTAATATAATGGAAAAGGAGATGATCTGCCCATAACATTAGATCATTGCACAAATTAATGTCTTGTAAATCTTACCTGTGGTCATACATTATGTGTGGTATCTAATGGTTTGATGTAAGATTGTTATTGTTTTGCAGAGGAGAGTGATGGAGAGGTCTTTACAACTCCTCAAGAGACCCCGGAGACAAGTCTTAATTGTAATGTTGGCCAGGGTTATTGATCATACCTTCAAGTTGATCGAAATGAAAAGATCTTTAAGTTGTAAGATAATAGCTGCAGGCTTTGGATGTTAATACACAACTTTCTATTAATTTAAATAATATGTAGATCATGGAGACACTGGAGACAATGACTCCGAATTCAAAACAAACGACAGAGCAGTACACTCCAAAGAGCAGAAAAGTTTTCATACAGGTACTTTAAAATAGATTTTACATTCTTCTTTGCTAATTTAAATTACTTGTCAAGCATAACACTAAAATGCAGCTCAAAAAGAGTAAGAGAATTAGGACCTGCTTTGGATGTCCTTGAAGCTAAGGCCCATTGTCACCCTATTAAAATGCATTGTGAGAATTTTCTGTAGTTAAAAATTGCCATTTGAAAATTGAAAGCCAATCAGAACAATGCATGCAACAGATGAATTTTTCCCAAACAAAGGGACAATCAACCAAAACCTGCAATGGGGTGAACATGGGCCTTTAACTTAATAATATTGAATTTAAGTGATTTCACTGTTTCGCTAGATGTCTTTCTGGTGATGTAAAACACCAGTTATACAAATTTTGAAATCCACTAAGTGTATCTACTTTGAAACAATGATTTGTTCAAATATGTAATTAACAATTTTTCCTCGAGCCCGACTGGGCTCTGAGGCAATAGCTATTGACTCAGAGGCCACGAGGGCGAGGGAAATAAAATAATGTTTTAGTAAAATCCAACTAGTTGGCCAAAAATATTGAGACAAAACAACTTTAGCTAGTTAAAGCTAGACTTAAAGCCATCGTTTTAGCTTTCAAAGCCATCACTTTTTGCTACTAGTGGGCCATAACATATAGGTAGCCTAGTAGTAGCTCAACCAATCAGATTGCAGCATTAATAATAGGCCACTAGTCAGATTTTACTAATAAAAAATAGACATGTTCCACACATTTAATTTGAAGGGATATAAGCTTGGAGTGTCAAAAAGGCTAGCTTTACACATAGAGGAAGAAGATGGAAAAGAAGGTAAATGTGATCACCGTACTTCAATATTGTAAACTTCCTCTCATGTATAATTTATGTCCTGTTATTAACAGCTTGCAATGTGATGTGGCAAAATCAATCATCATTATTAATTAATATATTTCTAACATATAACCAACTCTTCAGACTTCCCGGTGATATGGAATAATATTGAAGTACTGTCAGTAGCTGCATGAAAATCACTTTTAAATATTTTGTTATGAAACTCTCGATAATAATGAGGGGTTTCTTAACAAAAGACAAAATAATAGGACTTAAAGGAGCTTAATTGGGTTCCCTACCTTAACAGCGGTTGCAGTTCCTGCGGTTCCAAGCTACCCAAATTAGTCCTGGAACAACTGGCAGCCAAACTCACACAATTTGAACCTCGGTATCAAAATTTATGTGATATGTCTGAGATCAAACATTTATTATTCCTTGTTTCCCTTTTTATCTACAAACTTGTGAAGCTGGCAGCATAATGTTCTAATTCCAGAACAGCGAAATTACTTAGGAACGTGGTCAATGATTGTATTCTTGCTAATGCACTACAAACATTATGACTGTGTTTGGCTTTGAAGGTGATATTTCGTCTGTAAATTCTGGTGCTTCCAGTGACAAACCTGGCACCTCAAGTGTCAATGGGACAATTGGAATTTTTCCAAAGGAGCAGAAAGGTGAAATGCAATTTACATACCAGCAACATACAGCACAGGGGCACAGTCACTATATACATATGACATATGTGCAAACCCTTTGAAAGCCCAAAAAAAAGTGGCTTAGAAGTATCTAAGTGGCAAAAAGCATTTTAGATAATTACATTCATTTTGACAAGTATGACATAGAGTGAAAAGCCCTCAATCACACAATCCTTGACATTTACCCAGTGAGATAAGGCTGTTAATGTATCCTGGATCAAACTTTGCTGCAGTAAGTAGTTTTAGGCCCCAGACCCCCCCAGGCTTGCATCGTTAGCTCTCAATGAAAATTTTTTAAGGTGCATACTCCATGATAAATACACGCTACACCTCTACAGAGTAGTAATTTAGGTGTTTAAGTGGACAGAGTATTCCTGACACCACTGTCACCTCATCAAAATTTTTTGTTTTTGAGGTTCTAATAGGGTATTTTTGTTTAATGTCACCTGTCAGAATATGTTGACCATGTTTTAGTTTTATGGTGCTGACTTTTTCTGGAATTCTGGTATTTTTTTGAGTTTCCATTGATTTTACGTGCATGTCTATCTTGTTGTAAAAGGCAATACCTAAGAAAAGAGACTGAAATGTATAAAAGAAATATTTATTATTTATCGATACAAGCTTGGATATTCTCTGAGAACCCAATCAAAGTTTGGAATTCAGGATGCCCAAGATAAATAATTTTTATTAATGCGAAAATCAGATTACTAGTTGCCCATGCAAAGGCAAGAGTTAATGTCCATGGTCACTGCTTAAGCGCACCACTATGATAATAATACTGTTATGTGTATGTAGCAGGTACAGATGATGATACATGCTACATGTGCCAGGACACCTCGCCACCCACTGCACGTAAAGGAAAAGGCAAAATTGACTGGATACAATGCACAGAATGCCAGCACTGGTTCCACATGTAAGTATTTACACTGCAACATTTAAAACAAAGGAAAAGAATTGAAAAACTGGAAAGCTTCTGTGACATTTTCTCACCCAACAGTGAACGGTATGAACATTTCCAAAAAATTGGAAATCACATTTCTAAAATTTTGACAGAGGCGTGGACAGTACCATGTTAAGACTGATTTATCCCAGAAATAAACATAAAAGTTTTATATTTTTCGTTTCTAGTTAACAGGAGCTCTCGGCAATATGTTACAGTACCTTTTTTTTTAATTTATGTACCCCACTACCCTCATGTGAGCATTGTTTGCATAGGAGCAATGTGAAATAAGGATTTACTGTATTTGGGTGTACCTTGCAGTAACAATTTCCTTTAGGCCATTGTTTTCTAAGTGACTGTCCTAATGACTCGAAATACGACGACATCTACTTTTTATGGGTGTAAAACCGTTCACATTATAAGAGCCACACAGAGACAGTAATTATTGCCAGCTTAAAGGTGATTTTTTTTTATTCCAGGGTATGTGCAGGTGTTAAAAGAGCACCACGTGCTGACTGGTTTTGCACTACATGTGCATCGACACGTCAATAATTCAAGATTACGTTCGTGTCCAACAAGTAATTGAAAAATAAATACTTGCTTACTGAATTGCATTGAGTTGTGGGTGTTTTACTTCAAAGTGCACTTATTTACTTTATTACTGAAGTACAGTTGAACCTCAAATTGTGTCATGTCTAAAACATCTTTTTTTTTTTGAGAAAATGGCCCTTAAGAAAAGCATTTTGCAGCATGAAAGTTTGAATTGCGCATGTGCTATGATGCAATGCAATGCAACTAAAGAAATCATCTGTTATCATTATAAAAAATCCTACTGTGAAATAGTAAACATTATTGTTGTAAACAAAACTATGTGGACCTAACATGTACTGGGACACTTAATTCTTGCAATCCTACATGCCGCCTCTCATAACTTATCATGACTATTTTGGAGCAAACGTTTGACTCTTGTAACCTCTACTGAGGGAGACCCAAACGTAATGCTGATACAATTTTGCCATTTTTGGCCAGCACAGCAGATGCGAATGTGTACTTGCAAGTCAAAGGCCACTGATGCGTTCGCCGAAATACACAGTTTCCAAACGCACATTTCACACTACTCACAGTATTTCAAACAGATGTTGGTTAAAAAATCTGGCAAGATATAATGCAAATTCAAAGCGACTTTGAAAATGGATTATGATGAAGAATGGGTAATTTGACGTAAAACCAAAACTGTCCAGCAGTCAAATTGTGCGGGAACGGAACAGATTTGTAATGTTATGTTGTACAAAGCTACCATTCTATGTCGTTACAGATTACTGGTAGACAAAGTCTCTAGTGTATTACTACCAAGAAGTACACTGTATACAGGGAAAATTGCTAAACACTTTTACCTTAATATCTAATCAAAGTGCTTTACGAGCACACTCGTGAATTGAATGCTGAACAAGCAACCACATTTTCCCCTCGACACGGCAACTCATTTATTGTTCATAGGCAAGGCATGAGTTGAAAACTAAGTCTACAATGGAGTGCACCATTGACAGAGCTTATGAAACACTGTGACAGGGAACTATGTCAATATGTACTATGTTCACTTAAACAAACCTTATAACTGAATTCCAACAAATAAACTAAGAAAGCAAGGCTGAATTAACAGGCAGGGAAATATATTTTCCTGGCTGTTAATTCAGCCTTGCTTTTTAAGTTCATTGGTTCAACAATTTGTTGCTGATCAGATCCTTCACTACATGATCCTGTGCTTCTATTTTGTCTCGGTGGTCCTTGCAAGCATATACCGTTTTTTATCAGAAAACTTTAAGAACCCATCAACTTTCGAAAGGAGTATAAACTTATAGCATGACAATAAGGGTACATGACATTAATGAATATCAGCTTAAAAAAACAACTAACTCCTTTGCGCTTTATGAAGGAACACTGTTCACTACAGTAAATCTATGGTATTTGTCTCTCACTAACTGCTGACCCTCTTTTAGTTGCTTGGACAAAAGGCATTCTTGCTGCATCACAATTGCCTCATTCTGGTAGTAGTCCATCAGGAAATTAAAACAAAAATGAAGTCCAAAGCCTTGAAGAGTGGAGCTGCGCAGACGCTTCATGTTCTTTCTAAAATTTTCTGACTCTTGGTAGCTTGTTTTAATGGTAGTGCTCTGTTTGCACAGATCAATATTGTGAAACAAGCAAAGAGGCGACTTATGTGGCTTGGTGGAATTGTGGAATCTGTCCCCCAAGATAAATCGTTGTGAGCAACGTGAAACTGGATGCTCCATTTCACCAAGATCATCAGAAACCTCTGGGAAATAACTGGAACGGTACTCGGCTGGCACAATAAAAGGGCAATCAACTTCCTGGAAAAAAAATATGGTTTATTATCAAACATAGCACTCCACTTTGCAATTGTTGCTATATGTCCGATGGGAGGGACTATTCAATTCAAGGGATGAAAACAACGTGTTACTTTTATATAACTGCAGAATCCTTTATGCCTAGATAAACAAATAAACAACGATGAAATTCGAGAATAGAGGGATATTAACAGTCAAAGGTGTTTATTTCACGACAGATATTTAAGTGATTTCTGCACCTCTAACAAGGTGATTATCCGAAGTTTGGCACTTTCAGGCCTTCATTGTCTCCATTTGGCACAAGATACATGTTATGATAAATACAGGTCAACTCAAAAGAACCATAACATGAGTTAGTTACACAAATTAATACATACCTCTGCAGGTTTCTTGGCATACTCGGGTTTTTCAAAACATCCTGAATTTTCTCCCCAAAGTGCTTCACATAGATGTGGCGCTCTACATTCAAGATGACGCACCATTCCACATGGAGAATCACAAATGAAAACAATTGGTGGATACTTCAGGGACATATATAAATCGGCGGCATCACGTACGGACTCCGTAAGGGTTAAAAACTTTGAGGCAACTGTACGCTGAAGAAGAAATGGAATAGAACTGTTCAACATCCTTTAAAAAGAGACAAAAAAGAGAGCACATAATATACACTTACACCGTGACGGCAAACCAGATGGTAAAACCCTCCAGTATGTCCAGGTACTTCAGTGAAACCATGGCAGGGACACAATCCAACAAGCATGGAACTGTAAAGAGCTTGAAGATCAGTGCACAATTTTACCTAGGGAAAATGACAGAACACGTAACGTATACAGTGCAAAAAAAATAAAACTTTTTCTCAACATGCTTAAAAACGCCCATTTAATGAAATTACCACAACAAATAGATGAAAGTACAAGTAAGATGCTATAAGTACAGATTTATTCAAAAAAGGACCAACATTTACATCTGTTTGGATGGAAACCTACCATGATGAAAGAATCAGTCATACTAATGTACTTTAAAATACATGTACAATACTATTTCTCAAGAACATTTTAGTGCTCAGGACAAATGAACTTCAAAGGTATTACCTTTGACTTGCCAGATACAGGAATGTTGTTACGCGAACACAACTCCTTCAATTCGTCAACAGCACAATCCTGAATTCTGGCCATGTTCAAGTTCTTTTCTTTGATTTCCTTATGAAGGATTGCAGGGTCACCTAGAAGCAATGATAAAATCGACATGTTTATTAGGAAAGCATGCAAACACATCAATAATTTACTATACTGAACAGTCCAGAATATTCTTTATAGTACCATAGTATGCCATAACATTCTAAAAAGCAACAAAATTTGTCAGAAGATAGAAAAGGATAACCACAAAAAGGTTCCAAAACCAAAAACTAAGTCGGCGAAAGAGTCAAAAAAAACAAAAAAAAGGTACAAATTAAATATGATGATTTAAGCCGTATTGGTGTACCATAATATTTAAAATAATATAATATTATATGTAGTTGCAGCATTGAATTGTGCTTGTAAATGCTCTATCTAAATACAAGATCTATAGCTTTTTTCATTCTTAATTCTCACCCTAATTTCAGCTGATCATTGTCTGCATTTCAAAAGCTACATTCTAAAGAGTACCCAAAATATTTTTTCACTGAAATGTAACAGTCCTGCGTGCCACCTACAGCGTAGTTACCTGATGCCACAGAGTTCTTCAAGAAAACACTTTCCTTGTCATTCTCCGAGTTGTACACCACTAAGCCACAGAGGACTGGGGCAATAACCGGTGGCAGTTCTTCACTGTTAATAATCAAATCACTATTGGCCTTGGTGTAAATTACTTTCTCCATGAGATGCAACTTGAGTTTTTGGAGAAAATCTTCTAGGCCCATCATTTCCTTAAGTGGAACACCATCACTGGGATATACAATCTGGCAAACAATAGCAAAATTCAAATCAAATAAAAGATCAAATGATAGATTATAAATTAAAGACATAACACTGCATACAAATATAAGACAATGTTACAGAAAATCGTAAGTAGTTCATGAGCGCAACAACCTATCACGTCTGCTAAAATCCATCATTGGTAAAACACTGTCAAACAAAAAAGCCTGGGGGCTGCATTTGAGTTCAGTCTCAGGAGAGTGAGGAGCAAATTTTACCTTGCATCATTAAGATTCTTTATTTCAAAATTTCATCCTCATTAGTATTCTTTATATACAAAATACTAACAAGGACGACATTTTATGTCATTGCACGTGGCCTATGAAGATCAATTATCTGCACAGCAACTGACATCTGACATTATGACACGTGATTTTACGCATTTGTGTGAAAATCCAAAATGTTGATATACTTTATTAAAGCTTAAAACAAGTTCCTAGCCATACAAATAATATTACACGTAAATATATCTGAACACATGTGTACACTCTACCTTTGAATTACTACAGCAATTCTTTTCATTTCCGTCACCCAAATACACCTCTCCAATTACACCACATATCCCACAAACAGCTTCAGACAAGTTCCTTTCAGTCATCATCTCAAAGCACCAGAACCCATTGTATAACAACTCATTGTAATACCTGACCTTCTCCATGGTTGGGCATTGATCCTATAAACCAAAATCAAATTAAATAAAGTACTTAGCAATCAGAAAAATTAATTAAAAAGAGCCAGGTCCTTCATTCACTGGATGTTTCTGCAGTTTTATAGGTATTGATTGATCAATTCAAATAATACTTTTGGTGTAATAAGAGCATTAAAGAGTTATTACCTTGAGATCTATCTATTCAAAGTTTGATAAACTTAAGTCAGATTCTAATATTATGTCATTTCAGATGTCACAATAGTTTATTACATCTACCTTGTTAAGTTTCATGACAAGAAGATCTGTTTTGGCTTCAATGAAGTTTAATACTGGACAACCTCTTCTAAATAGCTCTCGCCACTTCAGAAGTATGTCAAAGGAAATGAGAATCTTATCACTAACATTGAAGAGCCCTAGAAAAGCAAAAATATATTTATTATTGATTGAAAACTGAGCCAAAATTTTTGTAGGGATTGCTCAAGGTGACAGTTAAGCCAACAAAGAGAACTCATGAATTGAAATAATCATTATAGAGAAGTTATGAGTAAAAGGATCTTAAACATTGGCAAATTAAGCACTGAACTCTCATTTTTTCCCCTCACCAGTGGAGGAACTAAAAAGTTATGACCTGATCCTAATTAAAAATTGAACACTTTGTTGGCTTCAAATGTTTCCATGAATAACTATCATGTGTTTCAACAGGTATCCAAACCTCCAAGAGTTGGTTTGAAAAAATTGCACACCCACCATAGCCACTGAGAGTGGACGCGAAGTTGGTCCGAGGACAAATTTCCCTTGACCGAAGGTGGCTCAATCAACAATGAAAACCCAGAACAAACGTTTCCTCTTGGAAATCAATAACAGTTTTACACGTTAAAAGTACAAACCCAAACAATGATCATTCACCAACGAAAAAAACCAACGAAAACCAACGAAAATTCTGAAATTTGATCTCAGACCAATGCCGTGTCCACCCTTGAAATCACAGCATCTGGAGAAAGAACAATTTTGGAAATGGCCCTACAAAATGCTTGTTTCCGGAAACATGGCTGTGTTTCTGTCCTGCCTTTACTTCCTATTATGAAGAGTGTGACAGTGGTCACACAATAACAGCCAAGAAACCGACTAAATCAATGAATTCACACCAAAAAAAACAACACAGGAATACATAAAAGGCAAGTCTCCTTTATTTATTTTATAGAAAAAAGTCACAATCAAGGTAGTTAGTTCTCAACGATCGCCAATGTAACGCGACACCGATAGTCTTGTCAGAAGGAAAAACACTCGTAAAGTGAGCTTGGGAAGCCTGTGATAACATATGAAGCATATACCGGTACATATTTAAATAACTAACCTTCCTCAGTTGGAAAAACACGATGCATCGCCTTACACAAAGACGAGCTGCATTCTTTTACTCTGACAACCACCTTTTTAAAGGGGTTCAAATTGCCGTACAACACACTGCCTCCTCTCGAACCAGAGTGAACCTTGGATTGACCCAAAGGATTTCCACAGAGTCGACAGGATGCATCAGCTACCTCAAATATGGATGGCCAACCCTGCCCAGAACAAGAAAGATGAGTTGCAGCATCTTTACGGCTGACCAGATTAAGGAATTGCGTTGAGTAACGGTATGGCAACTTCTCGTTTGCATACAGTTGCAACGTAGATGCCCTTGAAACGGGTTGTTGAGAGTCTTCACTTAGTGAAGAGATAGATTCGGAGGAGAAAGGAGCAGCTGGTGAAGTTGAAACGGCATGCTGAGGGTCTTCGCTTAGAGAAGAGGTAGATTCAGAGGAAGGAGAAGCTGCTGAAGTTGATAGTACTGTTGTTGAAGAATAACCAGTATTGTGCAGCTCTGTGCAGCAAAAAAGGACATGAAGATGGTCACAAATGACCCGACATTTCTCCTGCTTTCCCTTCGCAAGAAAGCCTTTACAGCAACACTTGTGGTATTTTCCATTCTTGCCATCCTCAGCCTTCACGTGGCAAAAGCCAAGAGTGTTAGTCGCACTTGGTTGACAATAAACAACAAAAGTACGGTCAGAGACTTTATACACAGCCTGATGACCTGCGGGGACAACTATGGTGGCCTGGGAGTGCCATAAGAAAATTGTGTAGTATCTTGTAAGTTCCCCGTAATTTATTATGTTATTTCATTTTATTTTTAAACTTTAAACGAAAAAAAATTATTATCGAGATACTTTAAATCAAATTTAAACGAAAAAAATAGAAAGTAAAGTAAAATAATTTTAAGCAAAAGTAAAATGAAACGATAATAATATTTCCTTGGCCTAGCAGTGCCATAAGGTTTTTCTAAAAAAAAAATGTTGTTCATGGCCTATCGATGCCAGAGCCCACAATGCACTTGGGTATTGACGTTTCCCACAGAAGATGGCGGCAAATCAAACCAGGAATGCTGACTGGATGCAAGATCAAACGCAAACGCTTCTTTGTATTTCTTTAATACATAATCTCCTTTAGGAAGGCCTGATAGAGCCTTGGCCATATATGCCTCTCTAAATGCACCTTCTGAAAACGACTTACGATGCAGCGAAAGTGTGACCGGAAAAGGATCTAACCCGGGGGGGGGGTACTGCCATATATGGGCTATATGGGTATGTGCCGCTGTGAAGGGTATGGTTTTCAAGCAGTTTACTCTAGGATAGGGTATATAAATCAGAGCGTTTGGGTCTAGAATAGGGTATCATTTTTCAGGAAACTGATCAGTTGGTTGAAGATTTTATCTAGACAGGAGCCCATCTGATCTAGACTGGGGAAACAGCTACTCTAGGATAGGGGGATTTTGGGAGTTTACTCTAGTATAGGGTAGCAAAATTCAGCTGAACTAGCTCTGGTATAGGTCAAGGGTTCCAGGGTCCCAGCGGCACATCCCCACCTAGAAATTCCTAAAGTGCCCGCCCCGGGGGATCTAACCACTTCAATTCATTGATGGCAAGTTCTTCTAGATGAAGCGTGGGGGGGGGGGGGACTCCCATATGAAACAGACGGGGATGCTCGTCAAGACAAAACGACGCCGAAGGGGCGAGTACATTTTCACCACGACACACGACCGTTGAAAACTTGTCATCGACAATTTTTTATTCGAACCCCGGCTCCCCTCGGGTCGATTTGACAAGAGGGTTCGAATCAAAAATTGTCGATGACAAGTGACGGTGTGGTACCCAGGTGAGGCTTAGTTTGTAGTGGAGGCAGGGTTAGCAAACGGGTTTTCAACGGTCGTGTGTGATTTTGGAAAACAAACTGCCGCTTGGCGTCGGTTGCAGTGGCCGGATTGCTCGGCTAATGAGATGAAATGAAACAAGGACATATTGGCTTGGATTCGGCGTTTGATTTGTGGCTGCTTGGCCATTTCAAGCTGAGGATTTTTCGCCTCTCGCATGGGGCATCCCGAACTGGAGTGTGAAGCCTTGTCCTTTCTCTTACAGTGGAAACTCGGGGTTAAAGGAAATCGCTTAAATCGCAATGGATCGGGAAAATAACCACACAGCAAACAAAAACAAGCAAAGTAAATACGGTAAGCTGTATTTTATTGAACATTCTAGCGAGTATTTATCGATTTGAATCTTTTACCTGAATTCCCATACAAATCCTTTATATTCACGGCCATTTTAAATTACGCAATATGAAACTACATGTGTTAACGATTAAAGTCACACACTGAGCTTGGGCCGCCTGTGATTTATTTGGCATAACCTTTCAATACTAAGCAAGCAACGAGACCATGACGTTGAAGATGATAATGTAAAATCATGTAAGGACTTTGGGGGTCTGAAGGAGTAGAATTTCCTTGTTTTGTACTGGAAAATAGGAGTTTGGTCACTGGTACTGGGAATTACTAAAAGAAAATAATGGAATTAAGAAAGGACATCTGTATAAAGTAAGCTTACAGGTAATGTGATACAAACATTCTTATGAAAATTTTCACAGACTATAGAAGAACTAATAAACAGAATAGAAAAGTGTTAACAAGTGTTGAATTTGCAAGTAGGCAAAGATAATCTACGTAGTCTGGTTCTATATTTTCATGCGTCAGTCAATAACAAACCCAAGCTTCCCAATTCCCCTGGCAGTCATAGCGTCATAAGTGGTGAATAATTCAACAGCATGCATGTATTTTTTGAAGCAGGTACAAAAGTTTATTTTTGATTTTAAATTACTTGGGTTTTAACTTAAATGAACAGAGAATGAATAGACATTTTCATGAGTCTTTCAATGCATAGCTAATGCAGACCATGATTGAATTAGAATGTATTTTCATGTAAGTGCCAACATAGTTGTTAACATCTTCACAGTTTCATACCTTCATCTGCAGTTCAAAGTATGATTCATTTCATATATTGGGTGATTCCAGAAAATATCCATACCCTATCACGGGTAGCATGAGTATTTTAACCCCCCCTTGCCCTCGGAAATTCCAAAATGCTTATCCCGCCCTTGCTCTCCGAATTCCAAAATCGCTAACCCCCCTCTCCTCCGGAATTTTCCACTTTTGTTTCAGACCCTTTGGAATTCCTGTTCATCTGCCTAAATCTTCAAACGAACGAGAAACTTGCACTTTTTCCCTCTGCAAAAGAATTCTGTTCACAATTTTTAGTCAGACGATCAAGCAACTCAAGTTTGTTAACATTAGTACACCGTAGCTATTCCTTCTAAGCATTATCTTTAAGCTGCTTACCACCTAATAGAACTTTTTGTTTTCCATTCAATACATTCAATAGGTTTATGCAAATATTTTTGTCGCGCTACACATAACATGCATGTACAAATAATTTAATCATGTAAAATGTATGATGGAAAGAAAAAAAATGAATGAAAAGTAACTATTATAATTTTTTGAGGTAAACCTCTCCCCGACTCTTCCAGTTCTATTGGTAAATATACATCCTTTTAAGGATATCAGCTCGTGGAATAAATAGTTATTTCAAGGAAAAATAACTATTTAGAACTGAATGATCAAAACACTTGCGCATAAACAGTTTTGAATT